AAAATAGAAAATTTCCTCCCTTTATCACTAAAAACCCTTTAGGACTGGCCATAGGTAATGGTCTTATTTTTATACTTTTCCATACTTTTCATTTTAAATATGTGTGTTATTTTATAATCAGGAAGAAATGAATCTATTAAAATTTAAGATATGCATACTTTGTGACCTAGCAATTCCACATCTTAGAGAACTATTTGCACACCTGCACGAAAAGAAATGTAAGCACTGTATCTTGTCATAAAAAAATGCAAATTAAGGACATGATTGGATAAGCTGTAGTTTAATTCATATTTCAGAATACTATATAGAAAAAGGAAAGAAAAGAATACTGACAAAGATGAATATGCACAGTACATTATGGAGTAAATGAAAGGACACAAACCGGCATAATATTTTTTATTTATTCACAAACACACACACACACAATGCATTTCTATAAACACAGTTATTAAACTCCATAGAAGAGGATCTGTCAAAGACATCCAAACTATTAACTGTAGTTACCCAAAGAAGAGCTGGCATTAGGAAGGGTAGAGAGGGGACTTTTATTTAATCTGAACTGTTTGGCAAAACAACTACAATCTATTTGTGCATTACTTAGGTAATATTTCAATTAAATTTTTAAAAATGAACTTCACTGGGGCGCCTAGTGACTCAGTGGATTAAAGCCTCTGCCTTTGGCTCAGGTCATGATCCAGGGTCCTGGGATGGAGAATGAGCCCCGCATCAGGCTCTCTGCTCAGCAGGGAGCCTGCTTCCTCCTCTCTCTGCCTGCCTCTCTGCCTACTTGTGATCTCTGTCAAATAAATAAATAAAATTTTTTTTTTAATCAACTTCATTGTTTTAAAACATGTTTTAGTAAATTATTTCCTCTGGAAAGATGAGTAGAAATGTGTATAATATGACCCACAATAGCTAAAAATTCAAATACTTGAATCACTCCTCACATAAAGTACTAGGACAAAAACATTTATCTAGAGTCTAATCTGTGTCTTATCTATGATAGGTACTTTATGTTATTGGATTTAATCCTAACAGAATTCTCATCACTTTTCCAAGAGAAAATGGATGTTCAGAAGTTAAATGATTGGCAAAAAACAAAGTGATATTATGAGACAAAATTCAAATTGAGGTCTGCCCAACTTTAAAGCTCAAGCTTCTCTTAAAGAAAATCTAAAGTAGGGGTACTTGGGTGGTTCAGTCAGTTAAGCATCTGCCTTCACCTCAGGTGCCCTGGGAGCAAGCCCCATGTCAAGCCATATGTTGAGCCCCGAGCTCAGTGAGGAGCCTGCTTCTCCCTTTTCCTCCGCCCCCTCCAACTCATGATCTCTCTCTTTCTCTCTCACTCTCTCTTGCTCTGTCTCTCTCAAATAAGTAAAATCTTAAAAAAATAAAATAGCTATCTCTTCAATCCACTTCTAGCTAAACAACTCTACTTCAAATTCTCAAGTTTTCAAATGCCCAAATGACCCCATTTTTATCCCAACTAGAAAATATAATAAATATATAAACTATAAAAAGTACTTTTAAATAAATTAAAATTTTAATTATAAAATATGATTTAAAAATCAGAGCCTAAACTACTTTTAAATATATAAGTTAAATATATATCACATGTTCTAACAATAATTCTCTGCTGCTCTCAAAAAATGATGTATTTTGAGGATAGATGAAATGAATATTTTGAACTTGTCACCATCCAGTTTTTAAGATGATAGTCACACTGAGGCATAATCATAATTAAGGAACAAATTATTATATAAAACATTATACACAAAAGTTGCTGAAACAAAGAATCCCAGGGGAATGAACAGACAGAAGAAAAGATATAAAGACAGATTAGAAGCAATGGTAATAAAGAAAGAAAAGCCATATTTCAAATCCTCTGATATCCATCCAGAAATTACTTCTCTCTCCAACAAACACAAAAGGATTTCCAGCTAGGAATGCTTGAGTGGTTCAGTCAGTTGAGTGTCCAACTCTTAGTTCTGGCTCAGGTCATGACCTCAGGGTCATAAGATCGAACCCACATCAGGCTCTGCACTCAGCATGAAGTCTGCTTGAGATTCTCTCTCCCACTCCCTCTGTCCCCTCCCCCCAGCTCACACTCTAAATAAATAAATAAATAAATATCATTTTCTTTAAAAAAAAAAAAAAAAGGATTTCCTTCTGGCACCCTACCATAAAATCCATGGCAACTTAAAAGGGAATTCAGAGAGTTTAGGCCAAGACAAAAATGACTGTTAGTTCTTTCCTAGACAGAGAAAAAAGTATCTATGTTGAATATCAGCTTTCTATATGCCCAGAAATCAGTTCAATTCATGAAAATAAAGTAGAATTCTTATTAGATCCATAATGCCAGGTATGCTAAAACAGTATGAAGGTTCTAACCTACCATATAAACAAACATTAACTATAGACTTTTATTGTTCTAGATCATATCTAGATGTTTAGATTATCTTAAAAAATGTCCTGTAACATCGCTAAACCATTTCATTATGAAATAATTTTCTACAGTTACTACTGATGATAGATACAGGCTCCTTTCCTGTCGGCTGGCTTTAAACAAAAATGTGCTCATGTACCAACTTATATACAATTTCTAAGTCTTCCCAGATCTCATCTTCTCGACAGGCCATTCTGCTTCTCCACAAAAAGCCCTTAAAGAAAGCAGAATAGAGGTGCCTAGATGGCTCAGTCAGTAAAGCCACCCACTCTTGACTTTGGCTCAGGTCATGATCTCGGCATCATGAGATCAAGTCCTGCATTGGGCTCTGCACTGGGTGTGAGGCCTGAGTAGGATTCTTTCTCCCTCTCCCTCTGCCCACATCCCCTCAGCTCACTTGCTCTCTCTCTCTTAAAAAAAAGAAATAATAAAGCAGAATAAGTTACTAAAAACCACATGTCTAGCGGTGCCCGGGTGACTCAAGTCAGTTAAGCATTCGACTCTTGATTTAGCTCAGGTCATGATGTCACAGTTGTGAGCTCAAGTTCCAAGTCAGGCTCAGTGGTTGGTGTGGAGTCTGCTTAAGACTCTCTCTCTCTCCCTTCTGCCCCTCCCCTGTTCTATCTCCCACTCTTTCTCTCTCAAAATATATTAAGTAAAATCTTCTTTTAAAAAAATGTCTAGGGGCACCCGGGTGGCTCAGTTGACCGGTTAAGTGTGCAGCTCTTGATTTCGGCTCAACTCATGATCTCAGGGTCCTGGGATCAAAGCCCCATATTAGGCTTCACCTTCAGTGGGGAGTCTGCTTGAGGATACTCTGCCCTTCCCCACCCCCCCCAATTCACACACGTGCACTCTAAAATAAATAAATCTTTAAAAAATAAAGCAAAACTACATGCTTATTATCTAAACCCTTCTTATCTCTTCTTTCTTTGACATTTGAAGAATTAGTATTCTTACCTCCATCACTCCCCTCCCCTAGCTTCAAAATGGAATTAATACTATTTTAGTTCAAATGAGTAATGTTTATATGTATTTTTTAAAGTCTATTTGATTTTTTTGGAAGTCTGTTTTAACTACCAGTAATTTTTTTCCCATTTGTCATTATAGCAAAATTGTTTGTAACTCTTTGAAGTTAAAAAAAGCAAAAGTTGGGTGCCTGGGTGGCTCAGTGGGCTAAAGCCTCTGCCTTCCGCTCAGGTCATGATCCCAGGATCCTGGGATGGAGCCCCGCATCAGGCTCTCTGCTCAGTGGGGAGCCTACTTCCCTTCCTCTCTCTCTGCCTGCCTCTCTGCCTACTTGTGATCTCTGTCTGTCAAAATAAAAAATAAAAAAAAAGCAAAAGTTTTAGCTAACCATTTACAGTATTTTAAAATGATTTTTAAAAATTAAATTTTTTAAAAGATTTTACTTTATTTTACAGACACATATTTAGTGCTTACAATATGCCAGGCACTAAGCTCTAAGCGCTTTCATATATGAACTCATTCAATCCTCACAATAACCCCAGGCAATAATATTTTTATTACTTCCATTTTGCAGAAGAGGAAATTTAGGCATGGAGAAGTTAAGACACTTGCCCAAATTCACACTACTAATTGGTACAGGAGCCAATTTCAAACCCAGGCACTCTAATTCCAGAGTCAAACTTGTAAACAGCATATGAAACTTCCTCTCCAATTTGTTGAAACCTCTTTAAAACTGTGTGTCCAATAAGAGACTCCAGAAAATGTTGCATTTTGTGGGAGCCTTTTTAGAGGGGGAAAAATACTACTAGGAAGTTTAAATGATAAGGCATTAAATCAATTATGAGACATCAATAACAAAAATCATATTTTCCAAAAGAGGATATCTTGCTTACTTCATGTGATAGTATCAAATTAAAATGGTTTTCAAAGAAAAAGTTACATTAAAAAAGTATATTTAAATATAATACAATTTGGTTTTTTAAATTTTTAATCATTAAATTTGACCAAAAAAAGAAATCTACACTTCATAAGCATCAAGATTATACACAGATGTAAAAAAAAAAAAAAAAATCCTCCCTTATAAATTGTATGCTAATAAAATATAGGAATGCTATAAAGGATTTATCAGAAATATTTAATAAACACTATTATTTGGCTAATAAATACTATAAAAGTTAAATTTCAAACTGACAATCTATTTCCGAGTACACTACTTTTTTAAATAAGATATAACATATAAGGTGTAACTTATGAAATTGGAAAAGCAGTTACCTTTTATATTCTTTTAATACCTTGTTGCAGACTTAGCTAAATTTCTTAAAACAATTTCCTTATATATTTTACAGTTTGGATCAATTTAGGGATATCTGCCTAAGGAAAGATCTCTATCTCTATCTCCCATTTCTAAACTGTGAAGAAAGAGATAAATTATAAAGAAGTAAAAATCTAATAATATAATCTTGGCTAACTTATTCCACTCTAGGCTTCTGTGTCTACAAAATGAGGAATTTAAGCTAGATAATATCCACAATTCTGTATAGTTCTATAACTTTAAATTCTATATTCAATAAGTTTTAAATCTCACCTCATCTGAAGAATCTAGTTGTCCCAATGTTCCTGTTGCACCTGCAAAACCTTTGGAGAAGAAAAAGTTTCCTTCATAATTGTTACATATTGCGTTACTTTAAAATTATTTTGAGACATAAACAAAAAGCCAAGTTTTATTACCTTAAGACAACTCATTCTAATAGATATCTTGATAGAGGTTCAACATTTATCTTTAATAAATTCGGGTCTAACAGATTTATACTTCAAAGAAAATCTCTAGTGAATATCCAGATTTAATCATCATAAATGGTGTTTCAGAAGGATCTCTTTCTTCTTAGTTTTAAACCATGGTTTATTAAAATATTGAGATACAAAAGTTTTGAGCTATTGTTTAATAGCAATGCTTTTCATGAGTTAGAAACAGAACCTTAATAAGCTAACCAAATTCCACTTAAGAAAAATGCCAATATATTCTTTCTTGCTTCTACATTTTTTACTACTTTCCTTAAAGAGAATGACATATTTAAATTTCTCTAATAATTAGTCAAGTTTGAGGGCCTTTTTGTTTCAATACAGAAAAGTTATCACTGTTCCAATTAAACAGACAAACCTTGAACTGCCAGAGTACTAGTGCCAGCTGATGGCTCCTGTATACCATATACAAGCTTATCCTCAGGATATGTAAGTCCAGAGCTCTTCAAAGCTATAAGGTACTTTTCATGACTTTTCTTTGCACAAGCGTTTTCTCCAAGACCTAATATTTAAAACAAACTTAAAATCAGAAAAAATATTCTATTCAAAATATAAATAAAGCAATCTCAGCAATTAATACATAACATATATAAAATAGCTAAATATTGTAATGGCAGGAGAACCCTAGAATGAATATAAAACAGCTTCACACAATATTGCAGAGCATGTTTATAATGAATAATAAAATCTACTACGTAACTGAATATCTAAAATATGCCAGAGATTACCTGCAAGTCATAGGAGGTACAAAGATTAACAAGGGTATATTATTTCCTGCCTTCAAGAAACTTGAAAAATCATGGTAGAAAAAGGTAAATAGTATGGTAAGTGACAAGTGTATAGCAGACTTCCATCATGTGGTTTGACAATCTGATCTCATAATACTGTGCAGCTAGATCCAAAGCAAAATGCTTAGGAAAAGCTTCCTGGATAAAATAATGCCTGAGTGGAATTTTCAAATATTATAACTGAGATTACTCCTAATTCCCACTTTGTCAAACTGTCCATCATATTTAAAGAATTAAATATAATTTCTACAGAAATAGCAGTAAAAACTTGTTCTAAAAAAAATATTGAAAAGCTTAGGTCTAGAATTACATAATCCTAGAACTTTCACTTTAACATAGCAGTTTATTAATTGTTGCCAATTTTTGTATTTTTTTAACATATTTATAGAGAATAGGGGCACCTGGATGGCTCAGTGGGTTAAAGCCTCTGCCTTCGGCTCAGGTCATGATCCCAGGATCCTGGAATCGAGCCCTGCATCGGGCTCTCTGCTCAGCGGGGAGATTGCTTCCCTTCTTCTCTCTCTGCCTGCCTCTCTGCCTACTTGTGATCTCTGTCAAATAAATACATAAAATCTTTAAAAAAGGGGCGCCTGGGTGGCTCAGTGGGTTAAAGCCTCTGCCTTCAGCTCGGGTCATGATTCCAGGGTCCTGGGGTCGAGCCCCGCGTCGGGCTCCCTGCTCAGCGGGGAGCCTGCTTCCTCCTCTCTCTCTCTCTGCCTGCCTCTCTGCCTGCTTGTGATCTCTCTCTGTCAAATAAATAAATAAAAATCTTTAAAAAAAAAATCCTAAAAAAAAAAGAATAGGATGATAGTAAAAGAAGTTTTACTATTTATTTTGAGAATTCTCTAAAAGTAAAAAATTATTCTGTCTGAAAGCCAAATTACCATGGCATCTGATACTTCCTAGGCAAATTATGTATCTTAAATTAAAATCTCAAGCTCTCCAATTATAAAAATTTATAAGTGAACTTCTTTAATATTTGTTGAGCTTTTCTGTATTTCCTCCCTTTGCTAGCCTAATAATTGCAATAGAACAGTTTGTTTTTTAAATATGTCTTTCTGCGCTGGTTTAAAAAAAAAAAAAAAACAACAACACCCTAGCGCTCATTAAACAGTCAGGAATATATCCATCCTTCATGTCCAATACCAAAAACAGTTACACTTAGTTTAAAAAAAAAATTACACATGGTTTATAAAGAATAAAGACCTTCTATGCATCCTATATAAGAAATTACTAAATATCTCCTGAATAATAAAAGCTATGTATTTATCTCAATCATGATAGATGAAATTTATAATACTTTTTAAATGACAAAATATATTTCATTAACCCTCACAACAAGGCTGAGAAAAATGAATGTATAATAACCATTTTTTTTTTAGAGGAGGGGTAGGGGCAGAGGGAAGGAAAGAATCTTAACCAGGCTCCAAACCCAGCACAGAACCCAACACAGGGCTCAATCTCATGACCCTGAGATCATAACCTGGGCCAAAATCAAGAGTCAGACACTTAACTAACTGAGCCACCCAGGCACCCCTGTAATTAACATTTTTAAAAAGTAAAGAAATGGAGGGGCACCTCGGTGGCTCAGTCAGTTAAGCATCTCCCTTCGGCTCAGGTCATGATCCCACAGTCCTGGGATCAAGCCCTGTATGGGCTCCCTGATAGCAGGTAGCCTGCTTCTCCTTCTGCCCCTCCCCCTTCCCCTGCTCATGCTCTTTCTCGCTCTCTCTCTCTCTCTCACATAAATAAAATCTTTAAAAGGGGGGGGTAAAGAAACAGAAGCTTAAAAATATGGCTAGCCAGTGAATAAACAAGCAGCAATTACAAGTACAGTAGCCTATAAATTTTAAACTTCTAAACCAAAATTTAATGTGATTTCCATCACTAAAAGTCAGCCAAGGATTTCTGTTGTGTTGTTTACTTCAAGAAATAATTATAAAGGAATTGTAGAAATAAGACAATTACCATAAATCATTCCTAAGGTATACATTCTTACAATGATTAAGAACTTGCTGCTTTCTTCCACAACAGTTGAGTTCCTAAATAAGGTTTGAAGAAATAACAGAGCACCAGCTATAACTTGATCTTTCTCCAGCTTTCACCAAAATTGAAATACAAACCACCATCATCTTTATCCTAAGCTGCAGTTGAGTTTTTCTATTTCTGCCCTTTCCAATCTATTTTTGGCAAAATCACAAGTCATCTTTTTAAAACACATATCTGATCATGTCACTCTTAAAATATTTCCATGACTTCCCAATACACTCAGGATAAGATATAAAATATCACATGGTTCATGACTGCCCTGGATCTAGCCCTAATGTGGTAACCTTATTTGTGCCACTCTCTCTCTACATTCATTTCATTTCAACACTACACCATTTTTTAGTCCCTTTTTTAAAAAGTAAGCTCATTCTCACCCATAACTATTTCAACATAGAATCTAGTAAGTGTCTAGGTATGACTGATATTCTTTATATTTATCCCGCTTGGGGCTCATTAAGCATCCTGTATCTATAAGTCAATGTTTTTCATCCAATTTGGGGAATTTTAGTCATGATTTTTTCAAATGTTTCTTTTCTGCCACATTCATACTCTCATGTCCTCCTGGGATTCCAATTACAGGCACTTTAAATCATCTGATTCTAACGGGTCCCTAAGACTCTGTTGCATTTTCTCTCTGTTCTCGAGACTGAATAATCTATTTTTTTAAAGATTTTCCTTATTTCAGAGAGAGAGAGAGAGAGCACAAGCAGGGTAAAGGGCAGCAGGAGAAGCACACTTCCCGCTGAGCAGGGACCTCTCCTAATGCAGGGCTCAAACCCAGGACTCTGGGATCATGACCTGAGCTGAAGGCAGACACTTAATCAACTGAGCCACACAGGTGCCCCCAGACTGAATAATCTATTAATCTGTCTTCAAATTCATTAAGTCTTTCTTCTACCCTCTCCAATCTGCTGCGAAGCCCATCCAGTAAATTTTTTTCAATTTAATTACTGCACTCAATGCTAACTTTCAGTTCTAGAATTTCTTTATTTTTTTATTTTATTTATTTATATTTTTTATTGTTTTTATTTCTTTGCTAAGATTTTTTTTTGAAGATTTTATTTATTTATTTGACACAGAGAGAGAGATCACAAGTAGGCAAAGCAGAAGGCAGAGAGAGAGGGGGAAACAGACTACCTGCTGAGCAGAGAGCCTGATTTGGGGCTTGATCCCAGGACCCTGAGATCATGACCTGAGCTGAAGGCAGAGGCTTAACCCACTGAGCCACGCAGGCACCCCTCTTTGCTAAGATTCTTTATCTCTTTACTCATTAACATCATATTTACTTTTAATTATTTGAACAGATCTTCCTTTAATTTCTTGAACATATTTATAATAGCTGCTTCTCAAAATTTTTTTATTTTTTTAAGAGAGGGAGAGAGTAGGGGGTGGACAGAGGGAGAGAGAGAAAGAGAATCTTAAGCAGGCTCCATGCCCAGCACGGAGCCCCACATGGAGCTCAATTTTACAACGCTGAGATTGTGACCTGAGCCAAAAATCAAGAGTCAGACGTTTAACCAACTGAGGTGCCCCTATAATAGTTGCCTTAATGTCTTTATCTGCTAAATCCAACATCTGGTCCATTTCAATGTCAATTTCTATTCACAGCCCTATTTCTTTGTTATAAGGCATAATTTCTTATTTTCCTGCATGTTTAGTAGTTTGTATTGTATGCTGGACATTCTAATGACACGTTATAGAAGATTCTGGATTCTATTATCTTCCTTTGAAGAGTACTAATTTTAATTCTAGAAGACCATTCAATCAATATCGCCTGATCACCAAAAAACTCACAAAGGTTTAGTGAAGGTTTATAAAGAGTATGTCTGTAGGGGCGCCTGGGTGGCTCAGTTGGTTAGGCATCCCCTCCTGATTTCAGCTCAGGTCATGATCTCAGGGTGTGGGAGTGAGCCCCATGTCGGGCTCCACACTGGGCATGGAGTCTGCTTGGGATTCCGTCTCTCTCTCTCTCCCTCTGCCCTTCCCCCTGCCTTATTCTCTATCTCCCATGCTCTAAAAATAAAAATAAATAAAAATAAATAAATAAAATAAGGGCAGGTCTGTAGAAAGCCTAAGGTTCTCAAAAGGCCCTCTAAATTGACAGGAATAATCTCTAAACTGTGTCTCAACTAGATGCCTGTGGTATTAACAAGTTCTCTCCAGTCTGGTTGGGCTGACACTCCAATGTCTTTGAAACTGCTTTACCGCTTCTATCTCTGCTCTGCTCTTAACCCTACAGCAGTCACTCTCTAATAAGCCTGAGGCAGTCTCATCTTGTACATGTGCACCTCAGAACCTCAGACCTCTGAAAGCATTTTCAGGGGTCCCCCATCACCTGCCCCACTACCTCTTGGTATTGTACCCCAGAGATGCCAGTTTCCAACTGTTTCAGATGTCCTAAACTGTGATCTCTATCTCCCTAGCTCAGGTGGGCCTCCACACTGCTTCAATGCCAGCTCACTGCTCGGCAGTCAGGAAGGTATCCCTAGACAGAGATTCATAGCAATCATGGGGTTCATCTCATGCTTTTCTTTTCTCTCAAAGATTTACAGTCTTGAGTTGCCTTCTGTCCAAAGCCTAATAACAGCTGCTTCACACTGTTCCAATTTTATGTTGTTTATGACAGACAGGCTAGCCCAACAGTCAAAAGCAGATGTCCTCTACCTTGAATACAACCCCATCCCATTACCACCTAATTTCCCTCACCCTCTAGCTAAATGACTTTCTCTCAACTATTAGGTTTTACTTTAAATATCACTTCCTCAGTGAAACTTTCCCCCATCTTCCCCATCAGTGAAATCAAGTCTCCCTTTTACAAACACTTGCCCTACCCTTTCATATCATTTACTACATGTTTATAAATTACACAATTTTTTTGGTTTGGGAGTTGTATTAATGCCATCTCACTCACTAGACTTTAAGCTTTATAAAGGCAGGGACAGGATTACCTGCTTTACTACTTGCATTCCATACCCCAAATTCTAGTACCTAACCCCAAACCAAGTACATAGTAGGTGTTTAATAAGTATCTGCTGAAAAAAATAGATGTCAGATAAGACTATCTTTGAATAACATACGGTTCACAATTCACATGAAAATTTCACCACTCTAAAGAAAACACAAACTTCAATTTTCAAAATATGTTGTTCAGGAACCAGCAAAAATAATGCTATTTAAAGTATTTGTTGTACTATAAAGCTGAGCTAACCTGAAGAGTTTTAAACTAAAGCATTTTATATAACAGTATATCATATACAAACATACTCAACAATTCCAAGTTTTGTAACTTAAATTCTACATTATTATAAAATCCTATGCCATACACAACCCAAAAATACAGAATAACAAAAATAAAGACACAGAAGTAGTTTTTGTTACTGTTTGGGGAAGGGGATGTGGAATAAAATTATGAATATGTCACACCAAAACTTAGAGGAGACCTGGATTCTAGTGCTAATTCCAAAATAAGTTACTTCTGAGGCCTTGAACTGGTCATTTAATTTTTCTGGGACTCAGTTTCTTCATCCATAAAATAAAAAGTACTTTTAATAACTTCCACCTTTAGCATTCTATGAAAAAAAAAATCTACGTTTTACACTTAAGTTTTGAAAATACACAATTTCTTATGATTACAGTGACATAAGAAAATTTTAACTTTCTTCTATGCTGATGTTTTACTTACCAGAAGTCAGATCTTTGTAGTTTTGTTGGTTTGTCAAAACCTGAGTAAGAACAGACCGCATGGCGCCTCCCATTTTAGTTAGATCTTCTAAAAAGGAAATTTGAGGTTCCAAAAGCTGAAGGACTTTGTTAAGGTCTTTTTCTGAGGGTACATCAGCTGCTGAAAAAGCATATAATATAATTAACTTCCTTTAAAATATTCTGCTAAAAATAACCATATTTTATTCTTTTAAAATTATAGTAACTTGGATAACAGTATTTTATAATCAAAAAATTAATATAAGAACTCTGTTTAGAAGGTAGTTATCATTGGGGCACCTGGGTGGCTCCGTCACTTAAGCATCTGCCTTGGCCTCAGGTCATGATCCCAGGGTCCTCGGATCAAGGCCCACGTCAGGCTCCCTGCTCAGCAGGGAGTCTGCTTCTCCCTCTACCCCTGCCCCTCCACCTCACCCTTCTCATGCTCTCTCACTCACTTACTCTCTCTCAAATACATAAAATACTTAAGGAAAAAAAAAAAAAAAAGAGGAGGAGGAGGAGGTAGTTATTCACCCAGCACCAGCCTAAGGCAGACTCACTGAGGAATTCAATCCTCTGAGAAAAAGTAGATGGAGAAAAGAGATGACTTCATAAGGTATTAAGTACTTAGTCTAGTTAAAAAGCATTCAATTTGAGGGTGTTATATTTTCCGGATATAGAAATGTAAACATAACATTTCAAAACTAGACTGTGTTTAAGAAAAAGTTAAGATCACTTCCTAAAATAAGACAGAAACCAAATAATTTTGAGAGTAGTATAAGAATATTAGAACAAAATTATGTCAGCACTAAATTTAAACCTGTGTAGCAAATAACCCATCCTCTATCATATTCTAAAAATACAGACTCATGCTAGCCGGAGGTCATAGCAACTAAAATTTAAAAAATAACTGTTTTCATAAACATAAATGTTTTTACTAAAATAGTTTTTAAATACCAGAAAAGATATGCCTAGTAGAGCTGGAGAAAGAGAAAAGAAACTTGTATAGCAACTGAAAAAGAACATTTAAGAGGGGGGAAAAAAAGAATTTTCAGAGAAACTGAGGTCCTAAAGAAATGAAAAATGAGATTTAGAGTTCAGACATAATTAGCTAAAAGGACGCATATAAGGGAGCTAATGGAGGGCCTGTGTTCCCAGGAAAGAGGACATCAATTTCATTCAACATTTACTCAGCATCTACTACATGATAGGCACTGGGAACCAAAACTAAATAAGACCTAGTTCCTACATCCAAGGAATTCACAACCCAGTTCAAAGATGATCTGTGAATGAAATTCTAGATAACTCTTCCTGGGACCCAGACCAAAAAAACCTTAACTTTCTCAGTGGATAACTAATACTGTATATTACTCATCTCTGTGTCCTCCCCAGTGACTTATGTAGTAACATGGCAAACATTTAATTAACAATTGTTCTTTGTTTGCAAGAGCTCTAGATGAACTCTGACACTCATCTGAGGATTGTAGGATGAAATGAGAAATGGAACACAAGGCATCTGTCAAACAACAAAATCTCTGAGCTTCTATTACCTCAGATTAAATTATTCCAAGTCTGTTCTTTAATTCTAAAGTGATCTCTACACAAAGTAATATAGTAATTTTTCTTGCACAGAAAGAAGAAATGAATGTAGAGCATCAGTGGTAATATAGAAAGGAAAATTTCATGACCCTAAGTTCATGACACTCAAGACAAAAAAGTGCTTCCATTCATTCCTTTGCATTTTCAGATAATGGTAACAAACAATTATCAAAGCTATGTACCTATGTCGTCTATCTATTAACAACTATTAGAAGTCCCTAAAGAAAAAAATAAACATAATATACTTTTATATGAGTTACTCTCTGATCAAAATAATCGTAAGTTTTAAGGTTCTCATAGTAAATGATTTCTACTCATTACCTTTTTAAAATAGGACACATAATAAAAAATGTAAATTTCCAAACACTCTATTAACTAGTATATGAGAAATAGCACAAAAGCAAGTCCAATAACCCAGCTGATCTCTAGTTCCTTCATTCCAAAGACAGAGTAGTTTGGGCCTGAATCAAAATAATATTTCTTCCTGTATTTTAAGACATATACTCTGAGACGGGTGAAGGTTGTTAACAAGGAATTGTGTATTTTGCTTAAAATGTAGAAACAAGAAGTTTAAGTGTTTGCTTACAATGAGAATAACATAGTACTTTAAAAATGATGAAGATGCTCTATGGTTCTTCACACTTCAACGATGGGGGATGGATAAATATGTGTGTCATAATTTCAAACTGCATTTAAGATTATTTATAGTAAATAAATAATTTAAAACCTCTAAAAGTAATTCAAGATGCAGTCCTTTAAATGATAAAAATACAAGTATCATCAGAAAAGTAAAAGATCATAAAAAGTTAATAAATTTGACTTATACCACACTAACTAGTATCTGTAATTCACAATGTCCGACTGACAACTTTAACAGATAATATCTAATTCCAAAATATTTAACTGAAGTATATTAATTAAGATCGGACTAATCTTAAAAGGCAAGAATATCTATAATTTGCATGTTTCTTTTTTCTTTTCAGTAATACCATGATGTTCACTCCCATACATTCTACCTGTAATATGGAGAGTGAGCAATTTGACTCTCTCCTAAGTTATTATATATGGAGAAGAATAAAAACATAGAGATATCTATAAAAAAAGAGAGAGAACAAAAGAGAGAGATGGTGAAATAGTAATTTATCTTCTAAAATTCTAAGTTAAATTCACACATTTCCAGGACTTCTTAATTCTGTTCTATCATAATATAATTATAAATAAAATCACTTTAACCCCATAAAATGATTATTTCCCCACCTGCAAAAGGCCAAGTAAGTTTGATCCTAAGCATCTATGATCCCAGGAGCAGAAACTCCCAAACTGTGTCACTACAGGGTATCTATGAGGTTATATAATTGATGTATACTAAAGTATGTTTTTATTTAGTCTCTATTTCATAGTCATCTCATGAAACACGTTAAACAAAAAAATTATATCTGAAGAAATTCACCTTGTTATTAATGCTAAACTCTGTTAATTGGGAACTTAAAAAGAGTACTAACAAAAAGTAGATTAAACATACCTGGTTCATTATAGCCTTCTCTTAAGTACTGAATAAGACAAAAAATAAATCTTGGAAGAACAAATTCAGACATCATCAATAAGTCTTTGGGGACACAGGGAATATTTGAACTTGATTTAATTTGATGCCTTTTGCAAAACCTGTAATATGAAAAAGAAAAAAAATTAATAGTGATGTCTGATCTGCCAGAAACATGTTACCTCTATATACAATATACACAAACAGAATGCAGGCCAGTATCAAAGCTGATTTATTATTCCTCTACAATTCTTAAGGTAAAAGATTATAGTTTTAATCAGTCTTTAAATAAAATATGTGGTTGAGGAGGATTTCCTCCTAATAAAAGACCATATACTAGTTAGGTGCCAGCTAGAATACAAAAAGAAAATCTCATTATAGGATTTAGTATTTTTTTAACTGTAATTTATAACTTTCATATATTACTTTATTACTTCCATCCTTTATATACACCATTAAGTAGAAATTGATCAATTCCTTAAAAATTCACATTTTCTATTCCTTAACTATTTCTAACAGTGTATTAATGAATATGTAAGGAACAGAAATACTTAAAGCTTATTTGAAAAGTTTATATAGTGCACATAAGTATATATATATTCCTTCTAATCTTATTTAGGCTTATTTTAAAGTATGATTGGTATACTTGAACAAAATGAAGCAAACTTCTCTGTATTCACAATCCAAATAATCATAAATAGGAAATTTTGTGTCAATACAAAATAACCACCCTAAACATAAAATCCCCAGAAACAAACTAATAAGAATAGTGCAGAAACTACCTTAGCTAAAAAAAAAAAACACAAAAGATCTGAATAGAGAACTACATTCTCAAATGGAAAAATCAATTTAATTTTTTTTAAAGTCAGTTCCACCACACTTAATGCCATTACAGTTAAAGCACAGTGAGACTAATCACAAACTAATTCTGAATTTCAATGGAAGAGCATATGTGTGGGAAAAAAATCAGTAAAACTCAGGAAAAAAATGATTACTGACAGCGACTTAGACCTTAAAATGTAGTACAAAGCTATTATAATTAAAAATCTGTGGGGGCGCCCAGGTGGCTCAGTGGGCTAAGCCTCTGGCTTCAGCTCAGGTCATGTTCTCAGGGTCCTGCAATGGAGCCCTGCATCAGGCTCTCTGCTCAGTGGGGAGCCTGCTTCCCCCCCCACCCCCGACACTTGTGATCTCTGTCTGTCAAATACATAAATAAATATTTTTTTTAGAAATCTGTGGTAATATTAATATCATCAGTAGATCACAATGGAGTCTAGAAATAGACTGTAAATTTGTGAATTTAATATCATAAATATGGCATACAATTCAATGTGGTAGGAAGAAGACTTTTTTTTTTTTTTAAGATTTTATTTATTTATTTGAGAGAGAGACAGTGAGAGAGAGCATGAGCGAGGAGGAGGTCAGAGGGAGAAGCAGACTCCCCATGGAGCCGGGAGCCCGATGTGGGACTCGATCCCGGGACCCCAGGATCATGACCCGAGCCGAAGGCAGTCGTCCAACCAACTGACCCACCCAGGTGTCCCGGAAGAAGACTTTCAATAAACTGCTTTAGAACAACTGATTTTTATGCAGGAAGTAAATTTTATTCTTATCTTATACCATATACAAAATATACTCCATACACAGCAAAAGTGAAAAGAGTTACCGAGAAAAAATAAACTATTTCCCCTCCATTACCTCAAAGTATAGAAAGCATAACTAAGTAAAACCTTAAACCAAAAGCCATAAATGTAAGATAAAAAATTGACCACAAAGAGTGCCTGGGGGGCTCAGTGGGTTAAGGCCTCTGCCTTCAGCTCCAGACATGATCCCAGGGTCCTTGGATCAAGCCCCTCATCTGGCTCTCTGCTAGGCAGGGAGCCTGCTTCCCCCTCTGCCTGCCTGCCTCTCTGCCTACTTGTGATCTCTGTCTGTGAAATAAATAAATAAAATCTTTAAAAAAAAAATTGACCACATAAGTCAAGCTTCTATACAGAAGACAATTACAAATATTTACAAGAGGCAAAACAGATAAAAGATTATATCTCTGATAATGAACACTTGAAAATAAGAAAAAGAAAAAAAAATCAATAGAAAAATCAGCCATGAACAAGTCATAAAAAAGCTGCTGAATGGCCAATAAACATAAGAAAAGATGCTCAAGTTCCCTAATAACCAAAGCAACAAATTTTATTAAAATAAAAAATGAGGGATGCCTCAGGGACTCAGTTTTTTAAGCATCTGCCTTCAACCCAAGTCATGATCCCAGGGTGTTGGGATGGAGCCCAGCATCGAGCTCCCGGCTCTGTGAGGAGCCTGCTTCTCCCTCTCCCTTAGCCACTCCCCCTGCCTATGCTCTCCGGCTCTCTCTCTGAAAATAAATAAATAAAATCTTTTAAGAGAGAGAAAGAGAAAGAAAGAAAGAATCCCCTAAAGTGCCAGAGAGCCCATCAGAATTTTTTTTAAATAAAATAATGAGCAACTAGAAAATGACCACTTTGTGACGGCTTTAGAGAAAGGCTTATGGGGAAATTTTCTACTTGAGATCAGACAGTCACATCCTTATCAATCTTAGTATAACTAGAAGTTTAAAAGAAAAAAAATCCATCACTGTGATGTTTGTGAAGCACACAGCACCATTTAGGAAGTGTTCTTACCAAACATGCTGAATTTCACACCAAGTCTCAAGAGCTCACTTCCATTTATAAGTATAGGACGTAAAGGAAAAAGTTAAACACACCACAAAAAAGCAAACAGACAAATCATGAATGTAGACCATTACATAGGGCAACAGACTCAATTTCTGCAACCATCAGTGACAAGAGGAAAAAGGAGGCAGAAGGACCACTCTAGGTTTAAAAACGCTTGACAGACCCAATAAACATAGTATGAACAGATTGTAACAAACCAACTTTAAAAAGGTATTTTTTTTAAGACAACCAGGGAAATCTAATTATGAACTGGGTAATAGTTCATTAGATAATTTTATTAGGTGAAATAATGGCATTGTGGTTATGTAAGAAAGTTCATGGGTATTTTATGATATTAAAGAATTATTTTGTGTAGGTATAATGGTAGCAGCATATGGTTATCATTGAAAAATGAAGCCTTACCTTTCAGATAGGGCTATATAAATACATACAAATGAAATGCTTTAATGTATGGGACTTGCTTCAAAATAATCTGGTGGGGTAAACTGAAAGAGGCAGGAGTATACCAAGATGAATTATGAGTTGTTAATTGTTGAAACTGGGAGATGGATACAGGGGATAGAGGCGCCCCCCCAAAAAAAAACTTTAAGTGCTCAAAAGCAAATGAGCATAGACTTCTTCGAGAATCTAATGAGTTATATAACTCTTTCTTAAGAAAAATATATACAAACACAAAAAATAAAGCATTCAGAGTGTTCACACACTGCTTCAGTCTATCCATCCCTAAGGTAGACATTCCAAATGTTAGATCAATAGAGTACAGTGCAGAGATACAAATTTCCTCAGTCCTCAAGGCAGACAGATGCAGTCTGAGCAGCCTCCTCATTGCTTCTGTGCCCCTTCCAAATATCATTTCAACACCTATTATACAATGAAACAGGTTAAGAAGTAATATATCTTAAGCTCCAAACCTTCATTTAAAGGTAAATATAGGGGTGCCTGGTTGGCTCAGTCATTAAGCATCTGCTTTCAGCTCACGTCACAGTCCCAGGGTCCTGGGATCGAGCCCCACATCAGGCTCCCTACTCAGTAGGAAGCTTGCTTCTCCCTCTCCCATTCCCCGTTTATGTTCCCTCTCTCGTTGTCTCTCTCTGTCAAATAAATAAAATCTTCTAAAAATAATAAATAAAATAAAATAATAAACGTAAATATGATGGGGTGCCTACCTGGATGGCTCAGGCATCTAATCGTCTAACTCCTGATTTTGGCTCAGGTCATGATCTCAGGGTCATGAGATCAAGTCCCACATCAGGCTCTGCACTCAGTGCAGAATCTGCTTCTCTCCCTCACTCTCTGCCCCTCCCCTGTTTTGCCTTCTCTAATAAATAAATAAATCTTTTAAAAAATAATAAAAATAAAGGTAAATATTGCTGTATTTAGGAGGGCCAAGTGGTCTAAGGCACCAGGCTCAAGCACCTGCTTCATAAAGGTAAATGTGAATTAAAGAACTTCTTTCAGCTGTGACACACAAAATCTAAGCAAAATCAAGACAACATTTCTACTTTAAAAGGCTTTAGAACTAAAAATTTTTTAAACCTGACTTGTGTGACTGATGATAATTTAATTAAACTATCTAGAAGCATAAATATGAAGGATAAAAAACAGATGAAAGGAATGCCAGAAGAATGGAAACACAGACACTAAAGGATGCAATGAAAAGCTTGACAGTTGAAAAGCAGGAAAAGAGAAAGGATTAGATAAAGAAGGGCACAGAAAGCTCTCTTAGACACTTTCCATGTAGAAACGAAATGAATTCAAAAGTGCTACTGGGCAGAGAGTGAAGAACAATTTGAACAGAGTTTCAAGTGGCCTCAAAGAGTAAAACTGCAACCTGGAACTATGCCCAAGGAACAAGAGTGTGGTCTAAGCAACCTAGGGACTGGGATTACAATAGTACATCAGATGGCTGTTGACTGAAAAAATTAACAGCCAAAAGACTTAAGAACCAAGCTTTGCAAGCTAGCTTTAAATAACATAGGACTATGCAATATGGGTATAACATATGATAAGATCAACAAACAAAATTGGTTTTTGTATTCCAGGTTGAACATAGTGTGGGAACTAAAGCATCTTACATATCACATAGCAAGTGTTCACTAAAGACTTGAGGAAACAAAGACTAAATCTAATAATAGAACACCAAAATGATTTCAACAGCTTTTAGGTAAAGAATAATCAGACTTCTTGTGAGCAACAATGGAAAAGAACCAGACACCCATTTAATAACACCTGCTTTTCAACAACGTTTCAAATAACCACTACAGGCCTGGCACTGAGGCCCCAGGAATGTAAGGCCTTGCTCTCATGGAGCTAACTTTCTATTAGAGTGGGGTAAAAGGAGAGACAGAGAAACAAACAAAACAAAACAAAAATTAATAATAAGCTCTACAGAAATAATCTGACAGCAGATT